TGATGAAAGTCCTTTAATAACAAAATGTCTTTATAAGTTAGTTTTCTATGTTTTTTATATATGTCTTAACTAAATAAATGATGGAGTGCTTGTGGAGGGACCATGAAAAGCTCTTGGCCTAGCATTCCCCATTGTTAGCCTTAGACTTCTAATCTTGTTTTTCATCACTAAATCATTGCATTTTATGCATTATGTTTGTCATTTACCTTTCAATAGCCATTCATATATAACATATATTTATGTTCATGCATATCATTTACATGTTCAATAAATAAAAGTCTTCTAAGAAAATTTTTGAAAATAATAAAATAAGATAGTGTTTCGAGTAAAAAAATAACTCTTGAAATCTAGCTTAAATATAAGGAAATTCTCAATAGCTATCATTTACGTGAAATATTATCTTGGTTTTGTAAAGCATTTTGAAAACTCCTAAAATTAGAGACATTTTTTAATTTAAAAGAATGAAGGAAATGTTTCGATATTTAAGATTTTTACTCTTGATCCAAAATGATTGCTTTTTTCTTTTTTAGAGATTAAAAATAAACATGATTTGTTTTCAAAAACAAAAAGTTTAAAAAGACTCGATTGTTGGGGTGAATAAATAAGATAAAGGAATTAATTTGTAAACATTAAAGTTAGGGCCATTATTACAAAAACTTAAGGATAACATGCAATCAATTAATATCATTTCTAATGGGTGTTGTGGGGTAGTAATCTTTTGCCACACATAATTGATTCTCAAACCCAACTTTATTTTCGTAAATTAAAAATATTTTTTTAATAAATTTTAAACTCATTTTAATGATATTATTGAAAGGATAAACTTTTTAAATGATCGATCACATCTTAAAAAAGATTCGTGGCGACTTCTTAATTTTGATAAACTTTCAAAAAATGGTTTTTGTTTATTTTCATATGTCCAACAATTGGGTTCTCGAACCCTCATGTTGCAACACTTTCCTTCAATAATGAGTTTTGTTTCACAGTCGTTGTTGAATTAAATAAGCATAATACTTTTATAGGTAATTGTTTGCCTCTTAATTCTATTTCTATTAGTAAGCTTTGCACAAATAATACCAAGATTGAAACCATTTTCTCTATAACAAAATAACAATAGATATTGCATTGTCATAAATAAAGGATATAGATCAAAAGTATGCTTCAAACCTTCGAACCTAGGTTAAACTAGAATATCTCTCTACCTATCAAACTCTCTGATGTCTTTAACAATCAAACTAGCAATTGTAGATGTTGTATGAGCATTGCAATTCTGCTCATATTCACTCCTACTTCCTACTAACTTCAAACACATTTGAACATAATCTAAACTTGTAAATCTATCTTGAGCCAACCTAAAAGCTTTAACTATTTCATTCTTTTCGTCAAGCATCTTAAGCCAACCATCAACGTCAACTTTCTGATTGTCTCAACTTAAAGCAAACATCCTATTTAGCTACTAATGTTCTTTACCCATACCAGGTAATAATGAACCAATTTGATGATGATTCTATCCACTACTTTTAAAAAAAATACGGTTCTTGTGAGTTATTAATAGAATAATCAATTTTTTCGTTAATTGATGTGAATTGAAACATTGAGTTTTAAACTCTCATTTTCTCTCTAAACCTTGCAAACCTCATACCCTATCATAAACAAGTAGCTTATCTAAGAATGATGGATGGAATAGGCTTAAAAACAGGGCAACTTAACCATCCATTATTTATAACAAAAAGAAAACAGGGGTTGAGATGTATTTTTAAAAATGTCAACCTTTTTTGCATGCCACATAAGAAGAACAAATATAGTTAGGATCTCTAAAGCTGTAAAGTGCATAACAGCTCTTTATTAAAGAAAATAAAACATGCAAATTTAAGGATGGCATCAATTTGAGTTATATTTAATTTTATTCTACATAAACAACACACTATTTAAATTTTAATCCACTCACTTAAATGACTTTGATTACTTCCTTCAAGTGACTACCTATTTAAGTTATTCAATTACTTAATGCTAGTACCCAAAAAACTACCGGAACCTTAATATAATTTAAGCAAATACTTGTGAGCATCAATCAAGATGTAATGTAGAACAAAAGAAAAAAAATAAATTTATAGTTATAAAATATTAACCATGAGATCTTCTCAATGACTGAACAAAGTGGCAATTGTTCCAATAATTATACTATCCATAAAGACCACATCAGCTTAATTACTTAGACTACCTACATTCTTACTATTGTTGTTAGAACCATTAGAAGGATCATAACTAAATGGCCTATCAAGAGGTAGTCTTAAAGATGCATTACTTATTAGACACTTAAATGAAACAATCACTACAAAAATTAAGACTTTTAGTGACAATTTTTTATGAGTGACAACTTTCCTGTGACACTATTGTAATAAGTAATTGCATCATATTATTATTTGGTTACTATTATAATAGTAATTGTGACGGTTTAAACTTCTTCACAATTAAATCGTCATTATAAGTGTGTTTTTGTGACTTAAAATAGTTTGTCACTATAGAATTGTCACTAATAAAACACAAAAATTGACAACAAATAATTTTTGGTAGGAAGTAATATACTAGTGGTGAAATATAAAGTGGTCATTACTATTAGACATTGTTGTGATGACAAAAATTGTTTGTCACATCATACTTTATTTTTTATTTCAAAAATTCTAGTACAATTAAACATAACATATTAATGATGACTACATGTTGTCTAATAAAAAATTTATTAATGCGTCAATTGAAATCGTCACTATTGGAAAAATTATAGTGACTAAAATTTGATTTGTCACTATTTATATTAACAAATTTAAAAATTTATTTTTTATTACAATAACAATTTGTATATCAATAAATTTGAGGATCAATGAGGTAATTGTAAGTTAAATCAAGGATCTCCAAGATCAAAATATATTAATTTAATTTTAAATATTTTTAAAATTCACACTTTTTTATGTAAAAGATTTCACTTTATTATAAAATTTAACTTCCATATCTTCAAGGTCTTCAATGAATAAGATATAAGATACTTTACGATATAGGAAAGTCTTAAATTGGAATCTATATAAAAAAGATTAAAATGAGTCAAGTTTAGACAGCAAAATTAAGTACATCTTTCGAATCAAACCAAGCATAAGCAAACATAAAACTTATTAAAATCATGCCCAAATTTGATTTGAATTTTATCTATAGACATTAAATTTTATCCGAAATATTTTAACATGATTGAACAAGGCCCATTTGAAGCCCTTAAAAAGGCCTTTTAAAGAGCCAATAAAATGCATCCATATTTAGGCTTAATAAACAAAGAAAAAAGAGACCATATGATTACTGTCAAACTCTTTCACATGGAATTTATATAGATGATACATTTTCATGTGAATACATGAAAAGTAAAGAATAAATGAAATGAGTAAACCTCAAAGTCAACCTTGATCAAAATTACAAAAAACTTGGTCAAAATGAATATAACTGGGGTCAATCCTCAAAATTCTCAACTTAATTGGAATCAATGTAATTTAAAATTAAATTTAATGATTTTTAAAATACTAAAAATTTTTATTACACCGGGGGAAGTACAAAACTACCAAAATACCTTTATAAGGGATATTTTCATAATTTGAACTTCTCAAGTTTCAATTTGACAAAAATTTTTAGATCTTAATTTCATAATATTTCATGATTTTTAGTGCATTTGAAATCACAGTCGTGCCCGAAAAATATGAAATTACAAAAATACCTCTTTTCATGAAACTTTTCAAATCTTAATTTCATAATATTTTATAATTTTTTTTGCATTTGAAATTATAGCAATACCCCAAGAAGTGTGAAATTACCAAAATACCCATATAAAGGTATTTTCGTAATTTAACCTTTTCAAGCTTGAATTTTCATGAAATTTTTTAGATCTCAATTTTATAATATTTCATGATTTTTGGTACTTTAAAATCTGAAAAATGAACGTAGGAACATGGATTTCTAAGAAAATGACCTAAATACCAATAACTTTGCACTAGGAGTAAAATTGTCTTTTCATGAATTTGGAGGGCATAAAAATCTAACATTTACAGTAAATAATATGGACCATTGGAACTTTTATTAATCTTGATGCAATGGCCAAAAGTGGTTCCTTGAAAAGAATAAAAAAAACAAGCTTTGATTCTTGGAAGAAATTTCATCCAAAGGTCTATATTTATCAAGAATGAGATTTTTTTTTGGTGGTTGACTTTTAAGGAGGCTGAAAGGAGCTAGAAAAAGGGGGTGCTAGCTAAAAGGGAGCCAAACACATTAAAAAAAAAGAGGGCTAAAAAGCTGAAAAACAAAGGGGCCAACGTAAAACAAAAAGAAAAAAAGAGAGCAAAGGCTTGAGAGAAGGCTGAAAGGTTAGAGTAGAGAAGGGGTCGGAAGAGAAATAAAGGAAACCAACATAAAAAAAGAAAGGAGAAAGTTGCTAAAAAAATAGAGGGAGAGGCCTACCAACCGAAAAAAAAAACTAAGAGAAAAAAGCTATAAAATGAGGCTGGTGAAGGAAAAGTGAAGCACATAAAAAAAAAAAGAGACTAGTAAAGGAAGGGACCAATGTAAAAAAGAAAAAAGGGTTAGAGAAAAGAAAAAAGCCAATATAAAAGAAAGAAAAAAGTTGGAAGGCTAAAAAGTGGAAAAAAAAAAAAAGCCAAACATTTAAAAAAAAGAAAGAAAAAAGCTATTGAAAAAAAGAAGAAGAAAGAAGCCAAATAGAAAAAAAAAAGAATGAGGAGAAAAAAAATAAGAAGGGCTACCAAAAGAAAGGGGCTTTTAAAAAATATTGGAAGAGGAAGCTATCAGCAAAAAAAAAAAAAAAAGAGGAGAAAAAGGGGGAAAAAAGCATTTCTTTGAAGAAAAAAGGAAAAGCAAAGAGATGTTTGCTTTCCAGGCTGAGATTAACTAGCTTCTAAGCTTGATTATCAACACTTTTTATAGTAATAAAGATATCTTTCTTTCTTGAGCTTATGAGTAATGCCTCTAATGCTTTGGACAAGATTAGATTTAAAAGCTTGATAGAGAAGAGCATACTTGACGTTCAGCCAAAGCTCTTCATCCACATTGTCCCAGATAAGACCAACAACACTCTGTCAATCATTGATAGTGGTATCAGCATGACCAAGGCTGATTTGGTGAACAATCTAGGTACCATTGTGAGGTTTGGGACCAAGGAATTCATGGAGGCATTGGTTGCTGGTGCTAATGTTAGTATGACTAGAAAATTTGATGTTGGTTTCTACTCACCTTGGTTACTGAGAAAGTTATTGTTACCTTAAAACATAATGATGATTAGCAGTATGTATGTATGTTTGTCTTGATATCTCATACAATTCAAAATTTTATACATCAATTTACTTTTAGAGTAATTTGTTCCTCATGTATATTAGATTTATGCAAAATTTATTAATAATAAATTGAATGAAATTTTTCGAAGATGATATTTAAGAAAAATCCAAGTAGCAATTCTTTAAAATGTCATAGTGATGATACTTTTCTAAAAACAATATTACCAAAATAATGGAGTATTTAGGAAAATATTCAATACAAAAAAGTTTCATTTGTCTATTTTTTTTTAAATTTTGATAGATACTAATAATAATGTGCAACGTCACTTTTAGTAAAAAAATTAGTATGATTAGATTAAAAATATATATTAAGTAAGAGAGGAAAAAATGAATGAAATTTTCGAAAATAGGATTCTAAGGAAGTTTGAGTAGAGATTCCTAAAAATCTTTAGGTGAGAAAATTTTTTTTAAATACCATTAAAGTATCGAGGTATCTAGGAAAGTTTCAATAAATTTTTATTTATTTTGTTCTTTTCAAAAGTGTTAGTGATAATTGAAAAATAAATAAAGAAGATTATAGTATAATCAATATATGTTGTTTCATATGCATATTCTATTTTATTATTTGCATTACGTATTTAAATAGAATTTTTGATGATGGGACCTCAGAAAGTCTGAATAGAGATTCTCAAGAATTCCTTAGGTAAGAAAAAATTTCTAAAAATTACCAAGCATTGGAATATTTAGAAATTCTTTTCAATATAAAATTTTTTATCAATTTGAACAATTTTTGAAAAGATAAAAAATATTTATAAAAGCATGCATTTCTTAACAAAATTAAGTAATAAGAACTTTTTATGACGGGATTCCAAAAAGTCTGAATAGTACTTTTTGAGAATTCACTAGGTAAGAAAGTCTTCTAAAAATTACCAAAGTATTGGAATATTTAAAAGTTTCTTTTCAATATGAAAAGTTTTTATTTTATAATAATTTTCTTTAACTTGAACAGTTTTTCTTAATAAAAAGGAGATTTTTTTTTTAGAAATAAATGTATTTTTGGATAATTATATTATTACATGATTTTTAATATTTTTTAAAACAAAATGAAAAAAGTTCAAGGATAACATCCTAAAAAGGTTCGAGTAGTGATTCTTTAAGAATTATTAGGTAAAAAAATTTATCTAAAATGCCACCGATGTATTGGAGCATTTAGATTAATTTTTCATAAAGATTTCTCATTTTTTTAAATGGCATAAAAATGAGTTTTGAAAAATACTATTTGTTTTAAAAAAAAAGGATATTATATTTTAAATAAATGCTGAAAATAAACATGAACCACCGAGGATAGGATTTTGAGAATTTTGATAAATGATTCTTAAAAATTCCTTAGGTGAGATGGTTCCTTTTAATATTGCCAAAATATTAGAATATTTTTAGAAAACTTTCAATATAAAGTTCTTATTTATTTTTTAAGCATACTAAAAAAATGTTTTTAAAGAAAACTAAGAAAATTAATTTTTAAATGTCAAAATTAAGATCATTTTAGTCAATATTAAAAGATAACACATAATTAATTGGTCCTATTTTAAACAGGCATTGTGGGGCTGCTAATCATTCCCTACATACAATTGACTATCGAACTCAAACTATTTTTGTAGATCTAAAATTATCTTTTTAATTAATTTTAAAATTTTATTAAAAAGGTAAATTTTAATAGGTGACCAACCACATCTAGCCAAAAAAGATTAGTGATGACTCCATCTTTTGTTTTTAAATTCATCTAGCGATCTCCAAAATCGTTATGCCAGCTTGACGACTCCACTGGCAACATCATATTTTTTAAAGAGTCAAGCCAAAAATTAATAATGTGTTATTCTTAATTTTGATTGAATGGTTTTAATTAGTATTTAACTTTAATTTTCTTAAATTTTATTCTTTCTAATAATAATAGTAATAATAAAAGAGAAACAAAAAATTCCATTTTATTTTATCCATATCATTTATTTACTATTTGCTCTTTTATTTTATGCTTTGTATGTACTATTATTATTGTTATGAAATGCTAAGATTATAATACTTTGTTCTTTTGTTCACACACAACACATTCACATTATGTATGAGCTCCAATCTTTTTAGGAGGGAGTAAAGTACTTATGCTCTTGTGAGATGATAATCTTTACAATGGCAAGTGAAATACTCCCACTCAAATTGATTCCTTTCCATTCATAGCCTATGATGGGTGAGGATCAAAGTGCCTTACTAGTCCATAGTGGATGCCAGTGAGAAATACTTTTGGAATCTTTAGATGCAAATAAATTCAAACTCAAGATATAGTAAACCATAAGAGTCGACCCAAGTTAGTGTCATATCCACCCTTTTCGTAGATCGTCTCCTTAAATTAGAATAAAAAGGGAACATTTATATTATGTTTTTAAGGAAAATCATAATGCAGGCATTCACGTTTGTTTTGATTTTCAAAAAATACAATAAGATCTTTGTATCATTTTTTTAAGGAATAAGTTTTCCTTTTGTTTCTTTTATTTTTCAAGCTTTTACTTTTTATTTTTCTTTTTCCCTCTCTGTTGTACTAACTTCTTTTTCTTTTTTGTTTTTTTCTATATAAACTGCATTGACATGACACAATAACATAGTGAGGAATTTGCTCTAAGACATCTTTTAGCAAAATTTTTTTCCATGGATCCTAAAGTATTGCAAATTTGCTTATCTTCTATAACTGCCCTATGTGAATCATACAATGAGGTGCATGAATGGTCTACAAGAACTCAGCAAAGAGAGAGAAATTGTTTACTTGTTGATTTTAGATCGGGGTTATCAAAAAAAGTGCATTTGAATCTTACCCAGAATAACTTGAAAGATTTGGCTACCATAAGAAATCAGATGGGTGAAGTTGGACGAAAAAGTTTTGTGAAAAATATGGGCAAATTACATCTCTTATTTTAGTAATGATTGAGGAACATTTGATTTGAGTAGCTATTCAATTTAAGATCTGTCATACAGATGTTTCACATTTAATGATATGGATTTGACATCAATTATCGAGGAATATTCGAGTTTAGTAGGATGGAATTACAATACCCTGATAAGATATATGTCAGAAAACCAAAATCAAGATACGATAAAAAGATAGCTAAATTGATGGGGATGAAGGTAGAAGCCATGCATGCTTTGACTAAAGAGAAAGGTAAAGGTTTCTGCTTACCTTGGCATTTCTTTTATGATTTCATTTTAGGACATTTAAAAGATGATCAAGACATGGCAATGTTCACCCTAACAACTTATGGTTTGGTGATCTTTTCAAAAACTTTGGGATATATTGAATTGGTAGTAGTTGATTTATTTGAATAAATCAAAAGTCAAATGATTAATCTTATTCTAGCCATCCTAGTTGAGACAATCAGATTGTTAAACTTTTTTCATCGGAATGGAGGACATTTCATAAGGAGTGCACAGTTACTATTTGTCAGGATAAAAATCCATTTCAAATGCAAGAAAAGTACTTTTTCCAAGTCGTATCTTCAAAATAAAAACTTGTTAAAGAATTTTATGAAAGTCAGTGGCCAACAATGAAATCCAAAGAAAAGTGGGTAGCATTCTTTCGAAGGCTTACGAGTGATCAAGTTAAATGAATGGCACCATGGATGCCTCATGTGCCAATGTTATATCAGAGCAAAGATAACCAATGGGTACTATTTTTGGGATTGTGGGGAGTAGTAAGTTACGATCTACTAATGGTATTAAAATAGTTTAGTATGAAGCAATTTGTTCCTGCCACACATGTACTTGTCTTATTAGAATTTGCTTATAGAGAAGTAACAAGTGAACCTGTAGGCAAAAAAACCATTATCAGAAGTTGAGCTTGTTAAGCAAGAACTTAAAGCAAAAAAATTAAAAAAGAAAAATTTAAGACTCCAAGAAGAGATGGGATAAAAAAATATGAAGCGAAAGCTTAAGAAAGTAAACTAAAAGAGGTGATGCAAGATCAGGATGCAGCTTAAAATGATATAAAAGATTTTTATTAAGAAAACAAGAAAATGTGAACCTAATTAAAAGAGGGAAAAGACGCTAGATTTGGTGTTAAGCAGCAAAGAGAAATGATTGAGCTTTAAGAAAAGATGTATCATTGGAAGAACAAAGCCAAGGAAAATAAGAAAAAAGCCATCAAGATTTTTCAAGAATAGCAAGAGTGGAAAGGTTTGTATTCAATAACTTCAACAAGATTAATAGAATGTCAATAGGAGAATGCTAAGTTGAAAGTGTTGATCAAAGATAGAAAAAGAAAACACTATGAAATCTAAAAGGAGAAAAAAATCAAGAAATTCAAACAACAATTGGAAAACCATAAAGACCATATTTCTACAATCATCAAAGAATAGCAAAATAGAGAAGCAGATTGGAGATACACTTGCGACCTTAAAATGGATGTTCGTATAAAATGGAAGGTGAAAAGTTTAGGAAGACAATAATACATCAAACATCTGACTAGTCAAATTGGCAAATCAGTGAGAAAAATAAAAGAGATGGTCGAAAGAATAGAAGCTTTAATACAAGAAATCAACCCAACTGGAAGTTATGGGTAATATTTGTTGAACTTTTTAGTTAAAGCCAAGGATCACTATGAGCAAATTAAATGTTTCTATGGCTATAATGCTAAAATGATAGACTCTTTGTACTTGTTAAATTAATGAAAAGTCCTAAAGTTTGAGTTATGTCATGGAGTAAATGCCTTTCAATGCATTTATGCATACATTTTACATATTTTTCTCAATATTTTACCTTATTAAAATGATGTTTTCAGAATGAAAAAAAAATTATTTTGCTTTCACAAAAATAATATGGCATCCTAATTTTTCAAATTATGGTAAATAGTAGTTTAAGGATAGCTCAGCCATTGAAAGTTC